CACAAACATCTGATATGCACAATCAGGGGAAATGTGACATGCTGGGAACCAGTGTCTGAGGAAAATGCAGTCCTCTGTTGAGAAATTTCTGTGGACAATGACTGTTCAGCACAAACATCTGATATGCACAATCTGAGGAAAAGTGACACTTTAGGAACCAGGGTCTGAGGAAAATGCAGGTCTCTGGAGAAAAGTTCTGTAGAGAATTTCAGTTTGTCTGTCTGAGATAGACAAACTGAGGAAAATTGACCATAAGGGTGCCTGTGTCTGAAGAAAATACATGTCACTGAGAAAGAAAAAAATGTGAAGAGCAGTACATACTGTATATGTCTGAGAAGCAAAATCTGAGGTAAAGTGACACATTTGGACCACTGTCTAAGAAAAATGTAGGTCTCTGAGAACATGCTGTAGAGAATGACTATTCAGCTCATACATCTGAAACTCAAAATCTAAGGTAAAGTGACCCTTTGGGAACCAGTGTCTGAGGAACATGCAGGTCCCTGTGGAGAAAATCCTTTGGAAAATTTCAGTTTGTCAAAAGTTTCTGAGATGGATAATTTAAGGGAAAATTACCTTAAGGGAACCTGTGGCTGAAGGAAACATATTTCTGAGTCAAAGACATAAGGAGAAGTACATACTGTATATTCTGAGATGCAGTATCTGAGAAAATTGACACTTTGGGAACCATTGTCTGCAATTAATAGGTCTTTAGGAGAAAGTCCTGTGGAGAATGACTATTCAGCTCAAAGTCTGAGAAATAAAATCTGAGGAAAAGTGACACTTTGGGAACCAGTGTATGAGGAAAATGCAGGTCTCTGAAGAAAAATCAATAGAGAAATTCAGTTCATTTTAAGTGTCTGAGACAGAAAATCTGAGGAAAACTAACTGTAAGAGAATCCACATCTAAAGAAAACACATGTCGGTGGGGGGGTTACGTGAGGAGAGAAAATCCTGTGGAGAAGGACCGTTCAGCACAAATGAGATACAAAATCTGAAGGAAAGTGAAACTTTAGGAACTAGTGTGAGGAAAATGCAGGTCTCTGAAGAAAATCCTGTAAAGAATTTCAGTTCATCCTAAGTGTCTGAGATGCAAAATCTGAGGAAAAGTGACACTTTGGGAAGCAGTGTCTGAGGGAAATGCAGGTTCCTGAGTAGAAAATCTTGTGGAGAATTTCAGTTCATCATAAGTGCATGAGACAGACTAAGGAAAAGTTACCTTAAGGTAACCCATAGCTGAAGAAAACACATGTCTCGAGTCAAAATAACGTAAGTATATAGTGTACATGTCTGATATGCACTAACTGAAAAAAGTGACACTTAGGAACCAGGCTCTGAAATAAACTGGTCTCAGAGAAAACCTTTTGGAGAATGACTGTTTGGTACAAACATCTGGTATGCACAATCTGAGGAAAAGTGACACTTTACTAAGCAGGGTGAGAAGAATTTCTGTAGAGAACCCCAGTTCATCATAAGTGTCTGAGATGGACAAACTGAGGAAAATTGACCGTAAGAGTACCCGTGTCTGAAGAAAACACGTCACTGGAAAAAAAAAAAAAAAGCGAGAGTACATATTGTATATGTCTGAGATGCAAAATCTGAGGAAAAGTGACACTTTGGGAACCAGTGTCTGAGGAAAATGCAGGTTTCTGAAGGAAAATTCCTGTCGAGAATTTCAGTTCACGGTAAGTGTCTCAGATGGAAATTCTGAGGAAAAGTAAACATAGGGGGACCTGTGTCTGAAGAAAACACATGTCTGTGAGGGAAAAAAAAAAAAAACAAACATGAGAAGTATATACCATTCATGTCTGAGACACAAAATCTGAGGAAAAGTGACACTTTAGAAACCAGGGTCTGACAAAAATGCAGGTCTCTGAGGAAATATCCCGTAGAGAATTTCAGTTCATCATGAGTGTCTGAGACGGACAATTTGAGGAAAACTGATTGTAAGGGTACCCATATCTAAAGAAAACAATGTCACTGAGAAAAAAAAAAAAACCTGAGGAGAAGTAAGTACACACTGTATATGTCTGAGATGCAAACTTTGAGGAAAAGTGACACTTTGGGAACCAGAATCTGAGGAGAAAAATCCTCTGGATAATAACTATTCAACTCAAATGTCTGAGATGCAAAATCTAAGGAAAGACTTTAGGAACCAGTGTCTGAGGAACATGCAGGTCTCTGAGGAAAATATCATGTGGAGAATTTCAGTACATCATAAGTGCATGAGACAGAAAATCTAAGGAAAAGTTACCTTAAGGGAACCCGTGGCTGAAGAAAACATACATTTCTGAGTCAAAAAAACATCAGAAGTACATAGTGTACATGTCTGAGATGCAATATCTGAGAAGTGTAACTCTTCAGGAACCAGTGTCTGCAATTACAGGTCTCTGAGGAGAAAATCCTGTGGAGAATGACTGTTTCTCTAAATGTCTGAGACGTGAAATCTGAAGAAAAGTGACATTAATGGAGCACATCTAAGAAGAAAACACAAGTCTCTGTATATATTTTTAAAAAAAAAACATGAGTAGAACACATAGCATACATGTCTGAGATGCATTAACTGAGGAAAAGTGACACTTTGGGAACCATTGTCTGAGGAAAATGCAGGTCTGAGGAGAAAGTCCTGTGGACAGTGACTATTCAGTTCAAAAGTCTGAGACGCAAAATCTGAGGAAAAGTGACACTTTAGGAACCAGTATGAGGAAACTTCAGATCTTTGAAAAACAATTCTGTAGAGAATTTCAGTTCGTCATAAGTCTCTGAGACGGACAATCTGAGGAAAAGTGACTGTACGGAACCTGTGTCTGAAGAAAACATGTCACTGGAACGAAAAACGTGAAGAGAAGTACAAACTGTATATGTCTGAGATGCAAAATCTGAGGAAAATTAACTTTGGGAACCAGTGTCTGAGAAAAATGCGGATCCCTGAGGGGAAAATCCTGTGGAGAATTTCAGTTCGTCATAAGTGAGTGAGACAGAAAATCTAAGGAAAAGTTACCTTAAAGGAACCCATGACTGGAGAAAAAATACGTCTCTGGGTCAAAAAAAAAAAAAAAATCTTTAGAAGTACATAGTATACATGTCTGAAATCCAATATCTGAGAAAAGTGGCATTTTAGGAACCAGTGTCTGAAATTAACAGGCCTCTGCAGAGAGTGACTGTTTCTCTAAATGTCCGAGATGCAAAATCTGAAGAAAAGTGACATACATTAATGGAACCTGTCTAAGAAGAAAACACACGTCTCTGAGATTTAAAAAAAACCCGTGAAGAGACACATAGCGTACATGTCTGAGGTGCATTAACTGAGGAAAAGTGAAACTTTCGGAACCAGTGTCTGAGGAAATTGGAGGTCTTTGAAGAAAAATTCTGTAGAGAATTTCAGTTCATCATACAGGTCTGAGATGGAAAGTCTGAGGAAAAAAATGACACTTTTAGAACAAGTGTCTGAAGAAAACACATTTCTCTGAGGAGAAAATCCTGTGGAGAATGTCTGTTTGGCACAAACATATTAGACGGAAAATCTGAGGGAAAATGACCTTAACGCAACGAAGAAAACAAATGTCTGTAAGTGAAAAAAAAAACTTGAGAAGTACTTAGTGTACATGACTGAGATGCAATATTTGAGGAAATCTGACAAGTTGGGAACCAGTGTCTGAGGAAAATGCAGGTCTCTGAGGAGAAAATCCTGGGGAGAATTTCAGTTCGTCATCAGTGTCTGAGACGGAAAATCTGAGGAAAAGTGACCTCCAGGGAACCCTTTCCTGAAAAAAACACATATCTCTGAGACAAATAAATGTGAGGAGATATATATAGTATATAGTGATATCTGGATACAATATCTGAGGAAAAATGACTTGAAGGGAACCAGTGTCTGAAGAAAACATAGGTTTCTGAGGAGAAATTCCTGTGGAGAATGAAACTGCGTTACAAATGTTTGAGATGCAAAATCTGAGGAAAAGTGATACTTTGGGAGTAGTGTCAACAAAACATAGGTCTTGAGTCAAAGAAAAAAAACGTGAGGAGAAGTACATAGTGTATATGCCTGAGATGCAATGTCTGAAGCAAAGTGACACTAGGCAACCAGTGTCTGCAGAAAATGCATGTTATTGTGAAAAAAAGGGGCGGGGGTGGAGGAGCAGTATGCAGGATAGAATCAAAATCTAAGGAAAAGTGGCACTTTGGGAACCAGTGTCTGAGGAAAACTCAGGTCTCTGAGAAGTAAAACCTAAGAACTACTTTTAGGGCACAAGTGTCAGTTCATGTTAATGATAGCAATAATCATTATCATTTCAGACCATGGATGTGTGTGCTTCAATACTGTAAAGAAAGTTTCTAAGAGTGATATGCAAGTATCTCAACTTATAACTATATAAATAACCCTTATAATCCAATCACCAAATAACCTAAATTCGTTGACAATTTTTGTCAACAGTACAAACACGCATAACAAATCACCATGAAGTCCAGTATCTTGAGGGCTCTGGTCACTGCTGCTGTATGATGTTTCCTATTCGTATAGATGAGACAAACCTAAACCTTAACAATGACGGGGGGGTCTCATCTGGGCAACACTGTAGCCATTACTGACACCTCCCTTCCCTGTCAATTGTTCCAGAGCTCCAGGAATTCCTCCTGGTAGGTGCAGCAGTTAAGTACACCCTATGAGAATAACTCGAGAAAAACAAAATTTTTAAAACTTTTCATCTGGTGCTTTTTTTTTTCCATGAAACTAGAAAATTTAAAACTGCCCATGTAGTTTATATTTCTTTTTTTTGGAAATATGTATTTTGCTTTATTTTAAATAAGTTTATTTTACATCATTTTGTGCATTTTTCCATCTCAGTTGTCATCCCTGTGGACTCCCCATCACCAAATCACCCATATGCCATCACCATACTCCAGTGCATCTCCCCCCCACCCCCATTTTGATCCCATTCCCCGCTCCACCCCATAAAATGTCTCTGGTATATAGCTGTTCATTACTATTATTGTTTTCTCACCTGGTCCGTTATACTCCTGCTATGAGCGAAACCATCTGGTATTTTTCCTTTTCTTTCTAGCTTATTTCACTAAGCATGATCTTTAAAAAAA